CAGACACCTGTCGGTAAAAGTATCGGTAGGCCCGCAAGAGTCGGAACATCTTTGCCGGGTTTAGTCGCGTCGTGTGAATTGCATAGCACACCAGGGACACCACAGATACGAACGTGCGTATGGAGTGCTGCCGATCTGGAGTCGAACTCAGCATTAGCTTCGCGACCGTCTTGACTGAGTTGCGTACCACCCGCTCGGTTCCGTTCCACATGTACTCTTCGCCAAGAAATACGTTGTTCTGCGTGGCGAGATGTAATAATTCTTCCTCCGTATACCGAAGTAGTTCCTCGCGGTCCGGTGAGGTCAGCAGGTTTGCCGCACGAATGCGCAGCAACACCTGTCGTACCGCGCGCACAAACTCCTCCTCCTGGCCCTCCTTGGCCGCAATCAAAATGTTGTCGATCATCGTGTGTATAATCACAGGGGTATCAATGTCGACAATCACCCACGTGGTCGCCTGGCCCACGGCCACGCTCCACCGCGCGCCGGTGGGCAGCGTGCACAAACGGTAGTAACTGCCACCGCACCGGAACACAAACTTGTTGCGCAGTGCCGCAGGAAGTGGGATCGCATCGTAGAAAGCCTCAAAGTCAATCTGCAACATGTACTTGGCATAGCGTAGCGATTGCCGCCTCCCAAGCCGCGTCGGGTATTTTACCTGCGGCATGTCTGCCTTGTCCATGACCGCGTTCAGGTGTGGCTCCGTGATGAGTCGTCTGCGTCCCTTCATCTCCGGGACGGTGAACACATTGACACCGTAGTAGCCCGTCGGGATCATGCCAGTGCGGTTGTCGAAATGAGCAATCGGCTGACCGTGCTCGTCGAGGCACGGCTCGAATTTGCCCATGCTCACGGCCTTCTGGAGGTCCTCCTTCGTCATCTTGGTCGTCTTGATGGTGCGTGACGTCTGCACGAGGTGCGGTATAGGGTATGGGTCAGGCGAGGCACCAACTGTGATGTAGCGGTACGCTTCTTCTAGAAATGCTTTCGTGTGTGCGTGGGCAGTTGTCATCTGCCGCACCGCTTCCGTGTCGAGTGGAGTGGTATGCTTGAGGTGCAGGGGCCACTCGTTTATATTTTCGCCAGCAACGTCTGCTGCTACTTCGTTTGCGTCTGGTACTTGCTGCTGCCGTTTGAGATCCAGCATCAGCAGGTACACGTCGCGGTCGCGAATACCCAGGTCTGCTGCCTTTGGTGCCTTCACTCCAATGTGCTTTGTGCTTACAAGGGGAGGCGCTCCTCGTCGTTGGCCTGTGTTTACGCGGCGTCCATAATTGTCTGCTGGCCACGTCCGAGATAGATATTGAGTGTTGAGTCCTGGGTGTGGCCCGTCATGAGCCGCAGCTCCTCCATTGTCATGCCCAGTTTGGCGCAGTACCTGATCGCGCCCTTGCGAACTGATGGCAGCGCCATTTTCGGATCGATGGATTTGAGTACATTTGACACCATCTTGCGTACCATGCTGGAGTCCTCGCTCGTGAAGAGCGGAGCGCCCTTCTTCTTGATGCTGTCCATGTGTTTGAGCAGGATGAGCGCTTCGTCCTCGGCCAGCGTGGCCGTCACCTCGTACGGGGTCCGAAAGTGGGATGCTTTGCCTCGTGCCATCCAAACCAGAACTGGGTAGCGCTGTGGGACGCCCTCGGCGTTCGACACCACGCGCAGGTGAGGTAGCGGCGCCTTCCTGTTTTGTCCCTTGTTGTTGCTGGTATTGTCGTTTGCTTTGTCTCCGTTCAGCGGCTGCATTAATAGCTGCACATCTCGCTTCAATAGGGTAGTGATATCGCCCGCTCGGGCCGCGCAGTTCCACATGAGGGCGAGGAACAGCGCCGCCAGCGGGGAGGAGTGACTCTGCCGCAATAGTACCTTCCTTGCCTTGCAGTAGTTCTCGGCGGAGAGGGGTGTCGGCGCCTTGGTGGGCTGCATCTGCTTGTACCGGCGTATGCAGGCCATCGCCGACTTCCATTCCACGTCCTTGTTTAGGTCGATACTCTCTTGCACATTCGTGTAAAGTGGAAGATCCTTCAGGGCACCCGCAATCAGCATCATGTTGCCGTATATCGTCGACCACGTTGCGTGACCGTCCCTGTACAGACGAAACACGAATTCCAGTATCGCCGAGGCGAGACTGTGGTACCGCAGAAGATCGTCCGGCATCGCCTGCAGGTCGCGCAGCCAGTTTAGGTGGCGCTGGCGCGTCTGTTCCGTCTTGCTTCTCCATGTCACCTCGTGGATGTGCTTGGGCTTCTCTGGAAAGACTAACCATTTTCTTGGGCAGAACGGGCTCTTTCCAAGGCACGTCCTGCCCGGCACGTTTAAACACGGGACCGTGATACTGCTGAGCACAAGCTCCGGCGTGTCACATAATGCCTCCACAACCTCGTCCCTGTTGTTATTGTTCCGGCGGCGGTTTCTGCGGTGTTGACGTGAGGAACTCTGGTGTCCGTTGGCCTGTCTCCCATCATCGTCGTAACGCACCTCCGTCGTCGTGTTGTTATTTCTATCGTTCCCATCGGCTTTATGATAGCTTGCCTCTTCATCCTCGGCGTCCAAGTCCACATCTATGTGTCGTCGAGTCGCCACCTTTTTCTTTTTCGTTTTCTTGTTCTTCTTCGTCGGCTGGTTGTCGGCCGCCATTCTGCTCTGCTGTTTACTCGCCGTCCGCTTGGCGGTTCGCCCGGACTCCATGTCCGCCAACGCCCCGTAGGTGCGCCAGCGGGAGGGAAGATAGACGCCCCATAACGCCTGCGACGCATCCTCTGTCAGCGAGAATTCCCACGATCCGTCTGCCTCAGAGGAGGCGGTCTCTTCCGCGTCCGGCGTCTTCTTCTTCTTCTGCTTGTCCTTCTTCTTCTCGGGGTAGTGGCGGCAGAGGGCTGCACCGAGCCGGAAAGCGTAGTTGGTCTGGTTGAACTGCAGTGTGGTAGGCATGCCAAGCCCCTCCTGCCCGCGGACGTAGAGCGCTGCCAGCGAGTCGCGAGCCTCCTTCGTCGTGAGCAGGTGCGGCGTCGTCGGCACCAGAATTAACCCATGTGCTCTCAGATTGCCGTCCGTCTTGTTCGAGCGCTTCTGCTGGGCCCGTGGGCGATGGTCGTTGCATTGAAGGGAGAAATAAGGCAGTTGCAATACGTCAAAGACGGTGGACAGGTCAAATTCGGTCTTCTCTTTCAACTGGTTGGTGGTGCGAAAATTGGTGATCGTCTGGGGCCGAAGCTCCTTTTCATCGCCCGTTCCAACCGAGACGAGCGCGAGAGCGGTCACAATGAAGGTATTCTTGCGACGACGATGGACATCCCAGCCGAGATCCGCGCGAAGTAGAGCGCGACGAGCCTGGTGCGCAATCAGCCGGTGCTTGGGTTCAGTGGGAAACTTGGTGTCCGCCCTCACCGTATCCACACCACCAAGTCCTGTTACATTTTCTTCTTCTCCTTCTTGCGATGGCTCTTCATCCTCGCTCTGGGGTTGGGACCACTCCATGGGTTCTACCAACTCCTCGTTTCCAGTGGTCGATCGCACCGCGTTGCCAACAGCTCCGTCATCGTTCGCGTCGGTTGTTCGTTGCCCTTGTTGTTGTGAGGGCTGTGGGGCGCCTGCCCCTCCGTCAAGACACTCTCTCCCATCGTCATGTCGCGATGAGTTTTTCAAATGTTGATGTGTTGGTTGCTGCTGCTTTTGTCGCCACTCAATTATAGTGTCGTCTAAAATGCTCTGGCGTTCGTTATCAGTTCGTAGTTCCAGAAGGCGCTTCAGTCTCGATAGGAAAACAGCGCGTGTCGGCGGTTCCTCGCAGTGGCGAAGCGCTGTGTTGAACAAAAATCGGACCATCTTGGTCAGACCGGGCGTGATGCGGACATTCACCCTGACCGCAAACGCAAAGAAGCGCATAGACATAAAAATTCCGCAGTCTTCGCTAAAACGCACTTGTCTTGGAGTTGGAATAAACTCGACCGTGATGCTGTCATCGTACGGTCTGAAAGCACGTCGTACATCGCGCTCCACTGGCGGTGACGGTGCCGAGTCGTAAACACGTAGCACATACGCTTTACGTTTTTGTTGTTTCTGACTTATATTGTTTAATGGTGCGGCTTGGGAGGATAATGAAAAAACCCCCGCAATCCAATGGGATCGTGTGAAGAGCGGGATGTAAATAAGTCCAGTGGTGTTGTGGCTGTAGCGCTTGTCACTTACAACTCCACTTCCTCCGTCACGGTGTTCCTCGCCTCTCGTTGCGTCTGTCGTCTCCTTTTGCTTTGCCGCCTTGTTTGCCATATATTTCAGAGTGCCAATCGAGCAGTCATTGATTGAGCACACTTCAACGCATGGAAAAACGGAATCAGGAGGCAGGTACTGTTTGTAGATGAGGTCAAGGTCAAAGTTCGTGGTTTTTCCTTTTATCATGGTGCCACCACTCAATACCACGCGCTTGAGTGGCGAGCACCTCTTCAGTTTTTTGCCTCTACATTTGTCTCGTGTGTCGTGTAAAGGTCTTCGTCGATGTAGTCTGCGTTACCGCCATGCATGCCGTAGTTGTAGCCACCACCGCGTCCACTACGTCGCCCGCCGCGCTGGCCATTGTCAACACCTCGACCGCGGCGGTTGCTTCCGTTGCTTCTTCCTGCGTAGTTGCCACCTCCATTGTTAGCAGAAGCCCGTACACCCTTTAACTCGGAGCGTAGATATTGTATCTCCTTGTACAATTGGTCAAATCTCTCTTTGACCGGTGCTCCGTCCCAGTATCCGGCTTGATTATTGTTACCATCGAATACTGGTATAAAAGGCTCGCCTCCACAGAGGGATTTGGTTGCATGCGGGGACTGGTCGTACAGGGCATCGCTTCTCGAGTAGAGTGACTTCCCTGTTTGTTTCTTGCTGAATTCATTTGTCTCGGATGGGCCACCACCTTCCATGGTTTTCTCCCCCATATCCGCCAGTCGTTTTGCTCCCATAGCATCTTCAATCAGGCAACGGTTCTGAGTGTCCATTTCTGTGCCTGGAAACAGAGGGAAGGCAAGCTTGCCGGACGCGATGGCTGTTGCCATGGACTCCTTTACAAAGTCATTGGCATCCCTATATACCGCCCAATTGTGCATAGTGCGACGATCATCAGGGGACATGTTTAGTAGCATGTCAGCCAGCACAAGGTGAGGATGGTTTGATCCGCTGTAGAGGAGTGTCATGAGGATGAAAGCCACATCTTGTGAAAGTGGCATATTGGATTTCATCCTTTCTTCGAACGTCTTCACTAAAATCGCATGTATCTCGGGTTTTTCCACACGTTGGAATAAATCGTCGTACCTTCGACTATATTCGTCGGCTTGTTGTCTCCACGGCTGCAATTTATACATGTTTTCACGTAGTAGCGTGGAGAGCAATGCTTCATTGAGCGTGGTGGAGTCACCACTTTGGTGCTCGGCACTCTTCTCATTTCCCCGCATTCGCGAAAAGAACGATCTCGATTGAATAAAGAACGAAAACAACCTAAGCAAACACTTAGACTATCAGTTTGTGTGTAGGAAAACAGAAATCATGAAAGTAAGAGATACACATTAGTGTTGCAGTAAATTAAATATAATGATTTTTGCTTGAGCTTGAACAAATTATATAATAAAAATATATCACAACATAATCACTTTAAAGACCGTTCCATATTTCACCCTGAAAATCCACATTACCCTCAATATAAACCAAAACTCTTCTGACACTCTTCTTCCCATGAGCCAAGCTTATGGGAAAGCCCACGAACTGAAGATCCGGCGTGGCGGACAGGTTCATTCATACTTCAAAACAAATGCGGCACACACCTCCGCTGGGCGTCGTTGATGTTTCTTTTTGTTGTGAAATTTTACTGTGGACTAAGATTAGTCATTTTAGACAGTTCACTTGATGGAAAAAATGTTTTGCATGAAACAATCATGGCTTACGGAAAAAACTCAAAAACTTTATCGCGAGATAAAGGAAAAAAGTTAAGAAAAAGCGTAAGTCATAGTAACAACAATGAAGATTAATGAATACAAAATGGCATTGAAAAAAGATACTGCTGCTGTTTCACCTCAATGAAATGAAGGTGATGGACAGTCTCATGATCGGAGGCCGGAAGAAAAAACGTGGTAAAGACTGCATCCACGGCTTCGGGATTCTCCAGCACTGCATGCCGGTTCTCTAGACGGAAAGAAAAATTTAGAAAGTTTCGAATTATGTTTTTCTTTCATTTATTTACTTTCTGAAAACACATTTAATTTACTTCATAAAACACAATTCGAAAAATTTTATATTTAATTCATTTATTTACATTGTGAAACACATTGTGATTTTACTTCATAAAACATAATTCAAAATTTTTAATTTTTAATCTATTTATTTACTTCTGTAGACGCGTTTTGATTTTAATTCATAAAACATAATTCAAAATTTTTAATTTTTAATTCATTTATTTACTTCTGAAGACGCGTTTTGATTTTACTTCATAAAACATAATTCAAAATCTTTAATTTTTAATTCATTTATTTGCTTCTAAAAACGCATTCTGATTTTAAATCATAAAGAAAAACCACGAAGGTTTTGAAAAACCAAGATGTCTACAAACAAGTCAAAATTTAACCACGCTCTCGGGCTAAAAACGAATTTCAAAAAAAAGAAAAAAACCCGAACAATGAGAAAAATACAGGGATGTGGTGGGTGGGCGCGAAAAGAACGATCTCGATTGAATAAAGAACGAAAACAACCTAAGCAAACACTTAGACTATCAGTTTG